TTAAAAATCGCGCGATTTTTTATTACAAATTTTCGCCTGCGGCGCTTTAAACTCTAAAACTCGATACTTCGATAAATTATGCAACTTTTTAATCAAAAATCGACCAATAAATAATTAAATTTTTTTATTAAATATCGCGCGATCATTATCTGAATTTTTTTATTGCTTCCGTTTTGTGTTTTTGAGGCATTTTTTCATATGTATGGCAGCACAGACATTTCACTTCAATTGGTGTACAAAGCAAAAGGTGAGGTTAAATTCGGTATTTTTTGCAACTTTAAATGCGAATTACTTTAAAACTATAAGCCTCCGGAGGGTGGGGTCTTCAGATTTAGAATCTGAAAAAGCTCCTCTATACTCCCTAATATTTTTTTTTTTCAAAGCCTGGATCCGTTTTGGAAAATTTTCCCCTCAATTTTCCAACTGCGCCTTCTTTGTTGGCTCGACATATCCTAAAAAGACATAAATTTACATTAAACAATAGAAATCGCAAAAATTAGCAAATAAAATACTCGCTTTGTTTTGTTTTGTTGTCAAATTTCTGAGAAATGTGAATTCACCACGATGCGATACAGAAAGAACAGAAAGAACCAGGGATGTAATTTTAAGTCAATCTATTATTCAGTGGCAAGGCGCAGAGCGTTCGGAGCAGCAATATTAATTTGTATCAAATATAACATTAAACGGCGGTTCTAATACATTTTTTGATATTATTAACCAGAGTACATACATTATATGGTATTTCTTTCAAAAATTAATGTACTATATGAACTTTTTTTTCAAATATTTCTTAAGTTTCTTTCATGAGTGCTGAAAAGCAACCATGCGTGTAAGAAATTGTGTGCTACCTAAAATTTCACCTCTGGAAACTTTATCCCCATAAAGGACTTCACCACAGTTTTTTTACTGGATATACTGAGGTTCATGCGAATGTGATACAGCGAAAGATCTGCAAAACAAAAATGTTGCTTTTGCCTCTGTACAGATACCCATATATGTATAAATCTTACATGGTTTATTTCGATGTATTTCTGAGGCAAATATGGTTCTATTTGTATTATAAATCTATATACATATGTATCTATATATAATCGTACAGAGACAATTTACTTTCAAATTAAGGTGCTGAATCTGAAACTTTGCACCAACATTTCAGATTTAGGAATCATTCGATGTAGGTACATATTTGCACGGAAAGACTATAAAATTTTACATTGAGCAATTTTAAAATGTAAAACTGAATCTCACACACGCATTCTCATTTTCACCAATTTTGAACAATTTCATTTCTTTATTTTGAATTTTATATGGTTTTAAAACGCTGGAAAACCCAAAAAAATCCTGGCGGGTGAACTGAGGGAACGGTAAAGTATTTTAAACTCTCGATAAATATGCGTTTCAGAGAATATGGTTATTTCAGTTTTCTCTTGCGGGTTAAGAAGAGCGAGAACTCTCCCCAGAATCAAAAATTAAGATTAGTGCCACTAGAGATTATTTTGCGAGATTTAGCCGATTGGCTATTTAAACCTCAGACTGGTGTAATTAATCAAAACCACTTGAAGGATCGATCAATTTCGCGTAGGAAAAATAAGCACTGTACGATAGTTAATAAAATGGTTAATATGTTGTCCGGAGTAGAAATGGCGTCGATATCTACTGTCGTTTCTGAAAATCCACAGGAGCAAGTAGAAGAAGAGGAGTTCCACCTCATGACTTGATACTAAAATTAGAGCAGTTGTGATGCTAATCCACAATCTAAATATGTACATATGAAGGGTTAGTTAATGGTCTCGCCTAATAGTTAAAGAATTACAATGTAATTGTTTGGATGCCGCAATACTAAAATGCACATATACGGGTTAGTTGATGGACTTAACACATGTGATTCGAATTATACTATCCCATATTAATTAACAGCCCAGCGAATCAACACTTGCCTTTGTATTTAAACGTCGCCAATTCAAAATTATTGTAGCGTTCGCAATAACAATAAATAAGTCTCAAGACCCTAGCAATAAGATTGCTTAACGCATGGCGTATTGAGTAGAGTACGATCTTGCTCANTCGCCAATTCAAAATTATTGTAGCGTTCGCAATAACAATAAATAAGTCCCAAGACCCTAGCAATAAGATTGCTTAACGCATGGCGTATTGAGTAGAGTACGATCTTGCTCCAATACTAAGTTAGAGTTAACTACCAAAAGCAATGCATGTGGTTTTTTAGAATAAAGAAATATGCAGATTTTTAGACCACGGAGCACCCCCATTTTCGGGGATTATTGCAAGTACTACTATTATTTCGCATTCCACAACACTTCCTAATTTATAAAAATCATACATCTTACTAAATACAATACAAAATACTAAATTTGGTCGTAATATGTCGTTTAATCTTTGACTATATTTGTATTTTTCACCGTACAGGACTAAAGTTCAAGCACAACGGAAGTTTGCCCAGGGCCAGAATGCTCCAACATCTTCTTATAGCTCAGTAATTGCTGCTTCATCTTCTTCAAACACAGGTCCCAGCACGTCTTCTGAGAGTCGCGAACCCCCAACTGAGATTTTACCAAACAAGCGTCCTAAAACGGAGGACTTTTTAACGTTTTTGTGCTTTCGTGGAACACCCGCATTGCCTGCTCACTTGGACTTTTTGAATCAAGGTAAAACTAAAGATGCGGAAGACACAGTCAAGAAAATGCAAACAAAACCAGCTAAGGGTGGGAAAAAAGGTAAAAAAGGCCGACCAAAAGGCAGCACTTCAAAAAAACAAGGACCAAAAGCCTCCACATCCAAAAATTCAGCATCTACAGTAGTTGCACCATCAGAAGATGTTGAAACCAAAGCAGATGAACCAATAAAAGCAGACTCTACAAAAGAAGAAGATAAAACTGAGGAAGCTGATAATAGTGTTATATCATTTGCCGTGAGAAAGCGTGCTGAAGTAGTTGCTGGAGGCAATCGCAGAGGACGGCCCTCGGCAGATCGACATCCCGGTAGTTCTACAGAAGGTGATAGGTGCAATAATTCTCCAGATACAAAGAGACGGTCAAATAGGGGCGTTCGAAAAGAAGTCCAGCAACCTGCTGAACCTGAAAGTGAGGAGGACGATGAATTTTATTCAGCAAAAGATGATGCCACCAAAATTGAGGATTCTGAAAAAGAATCTTCTTCAGTGCGCAAAACTGATGCAAAGAAGTCGAAAACACCTACAATACAGGAACGAAAATCAGAAACGCCATCGAAGGAAAGTGAAACAGGACGTCTACGAAAAGGCAGGGCTTCTTCGGCAGCGAAAAAAGGTACAGATGATACTCCTGAAGATATGCAAGAGGAATTAAATTCTTCCAAACAAGTTTTGAAACCAATTCAAAAGCCAGACGAGAAACCAAAAGCTAAAGAAAAAGCTTCATTAAAGCGTCCGAGACAAAAAGAATCACCAATATTTATACCATCGCCCGAACCATCAGGCCGAATGACAAGGCAGCGTGCCTTTTTTGAACCAGTAAAAGTGATACATACAGAAGATATTGGAGAAGAAACAACTGCCCAAGAAGAACATAAAACTGAGAGTATGGATATTAAATCAGATAAAGATGCAACAGTAGATATTCCCCAAATACAACCATTAAGCAAAAATACAAAGAAGGGAAGAAAGCAGGAAGGTGATTCATTGAATGTTGAAAATAAAGATAGATTGAATGTCTTTGACTTCTCGTCGGATGATGAACAGCCATTGGCAAAGTCTATGAAGCTCAAAAAGGGCACCAAAGGAAATCTTAAAAAAGCTGTTGGCCGTGCAGGAAAGACGCCAAAACATGTAACTCAAAAAAAATCAAATGCTATACAAATGGAAACAACGCAAGTGGGCAATGCTACAGAAACTCAAGAAGTGAAAGTAGATCTTCAAAAATCTTCTATTTCCAATGGCAATGGAAAGGATGTATCGAATGAGAAACAGCAAACTACCACAAAAGGTAAAGGCAGAGGTCGAGGCCGAGCGGCAAAAAAGAAAGCAGATGAACAGGTAGAAGTAGAAATAGAGAGAGAAATAGCGCAAAGCTCTCTTCAGCAGTCACCCGCACGCCATCTCTCAAATAAAAAATCTAAGTCAGACATTTCCGCTGTAAATGGTGAGGAGGAGAAAGAAACCATAGCAGGTGCACAAGCAAGGCTTCAACGCCCCTCAAGAAAAACAAAAGAGGCAGCTGCTATCTACATGGGAATCATAGGGCATAAGCTCCAACTCGCTGAAGACGAAGATGATGATTTATCATTGAATAGTTTTCCAGACCGACCAAACGTCAAAGAAATGGAAAAAATGGAAAATGAGTTGAAAAAGAACGCAGCAACGGCAGGTGGAAATGCAGCATCGAGTGCATCCGTCGGCAAGAGAGATTCTCCTAATCTAACAGTAACAGAACCATCGGTTCCTGTCGAGAAGCAAACGACTGGTAGACGCGGTCGCCCACCTAAACAATCTAAACATCCACCTATTAAACGAGAAATCGAAGGAATGCTTGTTAAAAAAGGAGCAATAGCGAAAATACTCCCAGCTATGGAAAGTGCACCTAGTAATAAACAGAAATCGGAGCTCAGTAGACCTGATTCTGACGACGAAGATTTTCTGTTAAGCAAGGAGGTAAATGAAACGAAACGAAAGCTTGAGAAAAGTTTCAGTGATTCCGATGATGAACCCCTGGCTATTAAAGCAAATATCAAATCAAATGATAAAGACTCTGAAAACTCAGATTCAAGAAAATGTGACAGTACTCCGCAAAACATTGCACCGCCGAATCAATTGATGATGTTACCCATTACTACTAAACCAGTTTCTACTCCACCCCTCAACCCACCTACTCCAGTGACTAGCGCTTCCCCAATTACAGCAACGGTGCCACAGAGTACGACCCCGCAAATCCCAAGCCCTTTTAAAACAATTGAAAAGAAGTCACCTATTCCAACATCTAAGATATTAAATGTTCCCGCAACTTATGCAATACCTTCATCTACACCGCCATCATCAAGCCTAAATATGTCAATGAATTCTGGCTTTAACAAAACCCCGACATATATGCCTCCAGCTTCGCCGCACTATCATGCACCACATGTGCGTCCTTCTCCTCATCCATTTCCAACGGCAAAGTCTCCAACGGTACCCCCAACTCCCACGGGCTCTGTAACATTACCACCACATCTGCAGGCGCCACTTCCACCCCAGTCACCATTAAAATACCCAGCTGCTCCAACAACTTACCCACCACCAATCGAAGCGTATCCGTCGCCGAAAATTAATCCAAATTTCTTAACTCCGAAATTCGACCGTACAACTTTACCCCGTACAAATAATTTTCCCTCTCCATCTCCAGTGAAATTTGAACTGTCCGCGGTCACGAAAGGGGGACTTGGCAGTTCGACTTTGACTTCGAAAATGACAATTCCCGGATCAGGAACATCTGTAGCGATAACTGCAACAACCAGTATAAATACCTCGGCTACTGCCGGAGCAGCAGCTTCATCTGCAGATCCATTAAAAGACGAAATCGGGAGCATCCTGACAGCCAGTCTAATGCCCAGTAAAGAGGAATCTGGCAAAGTATTTGGAATTGCTAGCGTTAGCCTAGCACAAAGTTCGGGACCAGACAATACTAAGTGTACGTTGGGAAAGTGTGGCTCTATTCACAAACCAGTATTGGGTCCCGTTGTACCCACTGAGGGGTACATTGGTGATCAATTATCGAGCAAAGAACGACGTAAAGCAAAGGTTAACATGACGCATGAACAAATACAGAAGTGGTTAATTGAGTGTTCCTCGAATCCAGATGAGATTCAAGATGATTTGGACGACGATTTTGATGATAATTTACGACCAAATCTGTTCGCTACCACACCACCCCCTACGCGCGATGACAAGGAAAGTACTTCTTTCAGTTCGTCATCCAAAGCCACACGTGACTTGGGTAAAAGTGAAAGTGCTTGGTCTGCTAAAGGGCCTTCTTTAAAAGCAACGCCTGTAGTCGCAACAAGTAACCGAAAAGATGATGGCAAGTTACTGGATACAGTGAATCCAATGGACATTACATCTGATAACGAAAAAACAACTGGCCATGCAATTAATCTCACGCAAAAGAACAATGTTAAGGCGAATTCAGGTGCAAATACAAGGAGTGAAACGCCCACACCTGTAAAGACAACTCGTTCTGAAAAAATAGATAAGAAAAATACTATTAAGAAACCCAAGGAAGAAAAAGCGGCTAACGATTCTGTGAGCAAGGACAATAAACAAAATAAACTTGAAAAACAAAAAGACGCTCCAACAACATCGAGTGCAATATCCAAAAGTTCTGCTGGGAAGCTTCCGCAGTCGCAGCTGCCAACAGCTTACCCTCCATCGACTACAGACATCACTCCAGCGTCCAAGCAAAACCGCAAAAAGAACACCGTACCCACAACGGTGGTCCCCTCATTAGAAGAGAAAAATGGCACTCCATCTAAACCTGTATTGAGNCGAAAAGATGATGGCAAGTTACTGGATACAGTGAATCCAATGGACATTACATCTGATAACGAAAAAACAACTGGCCATGCAATTAATCTCACGCAAAAGAACAATGTTAAGGCGAATTCAGGTGCAAATACAAGGAGTGAAACGCCCACACCTGTAAAGACAACTCGTTCTGAAAAAATAGATAAGAAAAATACTATTAAGAAACCCAAGGAAGAAAAAGCGGCTAACGATTCTGTGAGCAAGGACAATAAACAAAATAAACTTGAAAAACAAAAAGACGCTCCAACAACATCGAGTGCAATATCCAAAAGTTCTGCTGGGAAGCTTCCGCAGTCGCAGCTGCCAACAGCTTACCCTCCATCGACTACAGACATCACTCCAGCGTCCAAGCAAAACCGCAAAAAGATCACCGTACCCACAACGGTGGTCCCCGCATTAGAAGAGAAAAATGGCACTCCATCTAAACCTGTATTGACTACTCTTCCAATCAGCAGTTCCGCGGCAACAAAAACGCCGAGGCGAACTCCCGTTTATAATCAGAAAAACCAACAAAAGCAAATGGAACTGAAGGAAACTACTACAACTAGTCACAAGAAGACTGCGCCATTTTCCTACGGTGCATTTTCCGCAGATAACGAAAAATCCATTTACTCTTTTGACAAGGATGATGATGAAACGGAGGGCACCAAACTGCACTCAGCGCCAGCATTTAGACGTCAAAGTGGTCGAGACTCGCAAAATGATGAATCTACTCCAAACACTCCTCCAACGAGTAAGACATCGCCGGGAAAGAAACGTGCCTCAATAGCATCTACTAATGAGAAGGCTAATAAAGAAATAGCTGGTAAATCCCAAAACAGCTCAGTCTCGTTAACGCTGAGTCCTTCAGAAAATTGTAAACTCGTTAAAGTAAGTTTAGATTCTGAGAAACCTGGAGTAAGCAGCAAGGCTCCTACTACAAAGGTAACGAAAGGCGCCAAGAAGCAGGAAACTGCAAATAATGATGCCGATTCCGACTCGGAGGGACATACATTCTATATTCCACTGCAAGGTGTTGGCACAGGTGGTGATGGCGAAGGTGGCATCCAAGGTGTTGCTGTAAAATTAGGACGAGAGGGTCCCGACGGCCCAAATCAAAAGGTTATAATGCATGCAACTTTGGTCACAAAAGCTCAAATGGGATCGAATTCCAAACCACTACCGGAGTCCATGAATGTAGCGGATATCGTAAAAACTCTGATACCAACTTCGCAGGCAATATCGTCGGCAGCAGTGTCTAGTGCGCATACAGCTGTGGATGAAGTCGCAAAAAAGGGTGAGAAAACTAACGCTACAACCTCGGCTGCATCCTCGGCAGCGGCGGCAAACATGGATAAATCATCATCAAATAGCTTGAAAAATGTTCCGATCGGAACTGTTCAGCCCAGATTTAAAGGAGGCGTAGATGTTGCCAATCAGCCATCAACATCCGCTGCAGCGGCTGCTGCAAACATGGGAAGTGGATTAGTTCGTGTCAACTCCAACTCCTCACTTTTTTCAGGCTCGGCAAAATCTCGTATGGGCGCGGCAGGTACCGGTCCATCAGGTCATGGCGCAAACAAGAAATTCAAGGATGACACACCAATAAAAATGTCGAATAACACTGCTTTTCCGCGCCACGATGATCCCACTCAGATGGTAGAGGCGCCCATTTTCCGGCCAACCGAAAAGGAGTTTGCCGACCCTATAGACTTCATTGAACGTATCACTCCCATTGCTGCGCGATTCGGCATTTGCAAAATAATACCTCCTGCGACATTCAAACCAGAATGCCGCATATCGGATGAAATGCGTTTTACAGCTTACAATCAATATGTGCATAAGATGCTCCATCGTTGGGGTCCAAGTGCGAAGGAGTTAAGTGCAATAAAGAAATATCTAGCAACGCAGAGCATCGTAATGAATCATCCACCTTGGATTGGGGGCATGGAAGTTGATCTACCGCGCTTATATCATACCGTGCAAGAGTTGGGTGGTTTAAAGGAGGTGATCGAGAAAAAGAAATGGGCACGGGTTGCCGAGGAGATGTGCATTCCGAAGTTGGCACAGGATCGTGTTACGAAACTTGATGACATATATTGCAAATATTTGCTCCCTTATGATACCTTGTCGCCAGCTGAGCGCCAAAAACTATTCGATGAGGTTGAAGCAGATTGGGCCAAACGCGAGGCTCGCGCTCGAAGAAATGCCGATCGTTTTGTGAATACTGAAAGCGTATCCAACGAAGAAGATGATGTATCTTCAGAAGATGATGAAGAGTCGGAGGAGGAGGTAGACGGCGTGTCCATGGAGTGTATTGTGAAAGGCCGCAGTATGCCGCTAAGTCAATTCTATCGCATTGCGCGGAACACTATGGCGCTATGGTTTAAGAACACCGAACCCATTGTTAATGAAGTAGAGGCCGAGTTCTGGCGTCATGTAGCTGTGCGTGACAGTCACGTTTGCGTACACTCTGGTTCCATCGACTCATCTGGCTGGGGCTATGGTTTCCCCAGCCCTGGCCCAAAGAGCAAAGGGTCGAATTATGCGCGGCATCCATGGAATCTAAAAGTGCTGACAAATAATCCAGGCTCGGTATTGCGCTCACTTGGTCCCGTAATGGGCGTTACTGTACCGACTCTGCATGTGGGCATGCTGTTCTCCGCTTGCTGTTGGTATCGCGATCCACATGGTCTCTCATGGATTGAATACCTACACACAGGTGCTTCAAAACTCTGGTACGGCATTCCAGATGACCAGAGCGCAAACTTCCGATCGGCACTTACTTCGCTCATTCCCACGCATTGCCAAAATAAGACAATTTGGCTACCTTGTGACACGGTTATGGTTCCACCGCATATGCTCACCGATCGGGGAGTGTCGCTATGCCGTATCGAGCAGAAACCAGGCGAATTCATTGTTGTTTTTCCCCGTGCCTATACCTCCAGCTTGGCTACTGGCTACGTAGTTTCTGAGAGCGTTTACTTTGCTACTACATCGTGGTTGGATTTGGCAAAAGATGATTTCAGAGTAAGTTCTTAAAATGCATGGCGGATTTGCGTATGTATTTTTAATTGTTCTTTTCACTTTCCAGGACATACATGATAGCTGCGAACCAGCTATGTTCTCCTTAGAACAGTTACTCTTTGCCTTGGGTTATGATCAGCGCGTGACGTCAGATACGTTGCAGCAAATGTTGCCGATGTTGCAAGAGGTTAATGAGAAAGAACTGGCTGCCCGGGAACAGCTTAAGGTAAGACAAACGTGTGTCCATACATATATGTATGTATGAGTGTGTACATTAGGGTCCCAGCAAACATTGAGGTTAGTTATCGATTAGAGAATGATTGGAGAACTAGCCACATTCTCCAATCTCAAACGTTAGAGAACGACTCGAAAAACTATCGAGAAATATAGCGATCTCAACAAAAGTGGGACATAGTTCCCGACTCGAGAAAACATTAATTCTCTAACCGAATTCTAATGTTGATCTCTAATTGGATTTGAATGTGAATTTCAATTCAAATTGCTGTTTTGCTTTATTAAATAAAACGCTTTGTTTGTAAAATATGTTTTAAATGTATTTGAACTTAAAAATAATTTATGACTCATTCATTTGGAATATTGCTTATTTACATTTATTTGAATTTGCTTTGTTTCTCTAATCGGTCTCGAATCGAATTCTAATGTAGTTCTCTAACTTCGTCATCGACTCGAGAACGATTCGAGAATTAGCCTAGTTATCTAATGTACAAATCCAAATTTCTCTAACGTTAGAGACCGTGTTTGCTGGGAGTGGTCTAAAAATGCATGTGAAAAAGTAAAGTCGGACTTTTATGCTCTCGCCCCCTAGAAACAGGTATTCGTAGAAATGGTATTGAATTTCTCAAAAATCAATACTTTTCGATCGGAAAACTTTGTTTGTCTTCAGGCGCCTGCCAATAATAATGCCTAATTGTTTATTTTAATTTTTAATAACTAGCGGACGCGCCGAACTTCGTCTCGCTCAAAATTAATTTTTTGTTGAGACATTTTGGTACAACAATTTCACCAACTAATCACTTTACGACATCCAGTGACACATTTATCTGCTCTTGCTCCACATAAATCCAGTATACATAGACTTATTTGAGATGAAATCCTTTAACTGTCTAATAATTGCATTACTGGGCATTCATCAAGAACTGTCTTTATTATGGTAATTCGCCATAAAGCAATGAGCTCAGGGGTTCTGGTGGTTCATTTAACGGTAGTAATTTGACTTTAACCCCGGAGGATTGAGTTATCCTGGCGTCTGCTAATGAAAGTTTTACGCATTGGGTTTTACATACAGATTAGAATTTTTAGATAGTTGGCAGACCTCTTTATAATTATTATTTCTGGTTAAGAGTGCATTTAAATGTGTTTAATTCGCTGAATTCTTACATTTTACTTAAGATATATATTTAAGTCACTAAATTTTTGACAGGAGCAACACTATTCAAAAGTTTGTACTTTTTATCTAAACCGTTGATGTTTCAACTATTGAATTTATGAATTATTATGAAAGATATGGCCGTAGGTTGACCGGATACAGTGCTTTTAGCTTTTTAAGTCCTTTTTAATAAACTTGAACAACGTGACTATCTTTCGCTTGTACATGAGCTTCCCCTCTTCAAACAGAAGAATTTGATAAAATATTAAGGGAGATATCGTGTCGTAACACAAAAATACCTTTTAGGAATAAGTATGTATGTAGATTTTTTAATAGTTGGCAACCCTCTTCAAAATTATTACTTCTGGTTAAGAGTGAATTTAAATGTGTTTCATTCGCTAAATGCGCTGCAATGTTTTACTCAAAATATATGTACATATATTTAAGTCTCTAAAATTTAGGGCAGGTGGCAATCCTAAAGGTTTTTATTAAGAAAGATATGACGTATTATCGACCGGATACTGTGATTCAGCTCTTTAAAACCCCCTTTTTTTAAATAACTAAATTTAAAAAAATTTACAATTTTTCGCGTGTGTGTGAGCTTCTGCCCTTCAAAATGAGATATCATTCATTAAATTTGATAAAATATTAAAGGAGATATCGTTTGGTAACAGAAAAATACCTTTTAGAAATAAGTATATTACGTTTTTTGCGGATTTAAGGTTACTATAAAAAACAGTTAAAAATAGAAAATAGTTAAATAGGAAATTGAGCATTATTACCGGTAGTCTCCTGAAGAGAAAAATAGGTTTCCGATCGAAAAATATTGATTTTCAAGAATTCTATGCCATTTCTACGAAAACTTGTTCTTCACATATAAAATACATGGAGAACTTTAAGCGCATTGAGCGACCTCCCACAACAGCCGGTTCTACATTCCCACGACAGCCGGTTCTACATTCCCACGACA